AACAAATAAGTGATCATGTTCACTTTACCAGAAAGTAGCATCTACCCACATGGCTAAACCAGCTCAGACATTACGTCTTCCATGAGGGTATGACTGCAGAGATCCTTGGCGCGGAGGGCTTCAAAGCTCCTGAATCAGCACTTACTTAACTCAAAAAGAGCACAAAAACTTAATTTTCAGGCTTGCAAATTCCATTTTGTTGATGGTTAAGTGGAATGACTAACTTCAATCTGAAGTAGCCAGGACAGCAGTTCAAACTGAGAGTCTTTTTTGTTTTTCTTTTATGGTAAAGTATCTAAATAGATTGTTGCAAAACTACTGTCAAACAGCGAAACATGTTTTGGTAATGATCACTAGTATATTAATTATAACTTCTTTTAATTTACCTGGCAAAACACTAAAACCTATTAATGGTCAGTATTTTATGTTTTAGACTATTGCTAGAATTGAAATACAACTTCCTTTTTTGAAAACGTTTACCCTTATGGCAACACAGGGAAAAACAATGCCAGTGGACCAAAAATGCAAATAAAATGAAGCCTTAGGCATATTCTGTTCTAACTCAAGGATGGTTAAGTCCATACATTTGAAAATGTTTACAAGGCTACATCAGTACTAATTATAGGCAATACTAACCAGGATGGGTCTCATAATTGGAGTTTGATACCAAGGTTCAACGTTCCCAACTGTCATGAAAACAATCCACTGCTAAATACATGGCATTATAGCATGGTAAAAGCAAGCCCTGAAAGGGGAGAAATTTACGTTGGAGGGACCAAAATTCTACAGCGCAGTCCTCTTCTCCTACCATCATTAGGAGATCAGGAATTTACATCTATACTGTACCTGTATTTCAACTAAATTTAAGGACTGGTTAGAGTGAGAGTAATCCCTAATTTACAATTTGTGCAGTTCCATGTCACCATGTCAATAAAAGACATGGCACTTGTTCACTGCTTTCCTTATATATGCACACTGGATGTAGATTACACTACCTGCTTAGTGTCAGATTTTGTGTGACTTTAGGATACTAGTTTCAAAACAACATTCTGTAATTCTATGAAGGACCTTTTGTCACATCTTTCTGGGGTGCATTTAGTGGTATGCAACATGAGAAAATTGTTTTATTTTCTCATGCAGTTGTGGAAACTGATCTTCCTTTCTGTCATCTGGGAACTGTGACAATTACTGAAAAGATGTTAAGCAGCACAGAATTGCACATATTGGCTCAATTTTCACTTGAAAGTGAATGGATTTTGTTCTGCCATGTGACATCAAGAAATTTACTAAAGAATCTACAATAATTTTTGCCCTGTGGCTTAAGTTATCAGGAGCCAAGCAAGCATCTTTCTGAAGCACACCAGCTCTGTTTTCACTGGCCTATGTTCTATCACACAGACCAGCCAGTGAGGGGCTGGGGAGGCTGGTGAATATGCAACCAATGAACCAGATAATGTTTAGTTATGTTTGACAATGAAGAGGACACAGCCAACATTTTAAAGTCATTTAAAAATGCAACAAGGGCCCAATCCTGACCAGTCCCCCAGTGCAGCAGAATGAAGAGCTCTTGCCCCTCCCACCCTGCGCCCTAGCAAGTGCCAAAGCCACTTCCCATTTTTAAATGACTTTTTAAGTGGCACCTCCAGATTTAGCTTTGGCGCTATGATTATAAAAATCAATAAAATCAATAAATTAAAATATCAGTTTACTATTACAGAAAACTATCATTATTGTGTGAAATTATTGTTGGGGTTACTGCATTACACTGCTAAAGCTACGAGCAAGACACTACAAGCAATATCACAAGTTTAAAACTACTGCTTCTCAACTTTCTGTTCTAACAAAACAACAGATACACGAACCTATCTATAGAAGTAGTAATTAACAGTTACTTTAGAGGAAATGGCCTCACAATCTTCCATCCCCTCTTAGGGCTTCAAGTTTTAATTAACTAAAGTGTTAATTGGGGAGGGAGAATTAAAACTGGTGGTACTGAAAGTGAAGAGCACAATTATTTTTCAGATTTGCTGGTGTGTAAGTACAGTAAAAAATTATATACATCCTTTCCTTCAAATGACAAAACATTTGTGTGTTCTCAAAACTATACCAATAGCAGCATTTTGGAGACGCCCTAATATATTTAAAGTAATTGATTAATAATTGATTAATAATCAATTACAAGGCAGATTATTTATTAAAATGTATTTATTTTAAACAGTTGACAACTATATTAACTTTAACCTATGATGTCAAAAATAAGTATCCTAAAAATCCAAGAGGTTTCTATTATAGCTTTAAATTTTCTAATTTGACTATCACCCTTGTTTCACTATTCACAGATTGACACATTCTGCATTTTGACTACTGCATCACACCAAGTATTGTGTACAGCATTCTGACAATATCAGATTCCTTTTTTAACCAATAAAACCAAACAAATGCTAACCCTTATGAAAATGAACTAACTTGAAAATATATCTGCAAACCCAAAAGACAAGTATATGGTATCAAATGGTCAGAGAGAATGACTTCTGTGCCATACAGAGCACACTGCCCATGCCTAAATCTAACAGCTGCAGAACTGGTTCAAACCACGTAACTGGGGTTACTGTTCTGCAGAATGTACCCATCTATAGCAAAAGCTGTATTAAACCACCGCCTTAGAATACAATTCTATGGACAGTTAAAGATGCACATTATCACCAATGACAATTATAAGCAAACAAAAAAAGTCTTCCATATATAGACTCATTAAAGAAATAAAGAGGTTAGTTCAAAATGTTCCTGTTACTGTGTTTTCTCCTTACATCAATTGTCAAATCCACTTGTAACCTGTCAAAAAGCAGTCATTATATCTGTTAAGCAGAAAATATATCTAGTAAGATACAATGGGGATGCAGTCATATCTAATTTACCAACTGTTATAGAAAAACCAAAGATATTATCTTCATATGCATGTTTACCTCACAGTAAACCCCACTGCTATCAATGAGATTTCAGCATGGTTAGTTACGGGCTGTAAGCCTACTATCAGCTCCTCAAGCCAGTTCTGGAAAGCCAGTATATAAATTCTCTACACAAGTAAACAATAAAATAAAGCTGCAATCCACTGTACACTTAACTTGGCAGCTTGGCCTAGCAGGATATATTTAGAACTCACAATGGGCTCTAATTTATAAAGAAGCTTTATTAGCTTAAAATTATAAATAACAAAAAAATGCAGAAAGTACATACTGTGCTTATTTTTAATTATTTTATTTAAATACACAATACAGTTGTTTTATGACAAGTTTTTAAGACATAATTTTTATAGCAGTAGGAGCAGACAATCACACTTTCTGCCAACTGATGTTTTGCAGACTGGCAGAAACGGCAAGAACTGCAAAACTAAGGAATGAAGGGAAAAAATGACAGTCACGTTTATAAGTATTTATATTATGGTTTGCTTCAAATACACACACATATTAATCTTCCCTCTAGGAAGATCAAAATACAGCTAGAGAATTAACAGCATTGGTTATATCTTACTATAAATTGTACCTCAAGGGGAAAATACAAGATCAGAAGACTATCAAGGTGTCTTTCTGTTTTAATAGTCAAACAAATAAGCCAATCACAAAGAAGTTCAGCCTTTTCTGACTACCTCAACCTCAAGACATCCAATCCCTTACACAGTGGGCTGGCACTGAAGTGAAGACCTCTCTTCATTGAAGAATTTCTTGACAGTATATTTACTATCAACTCTGCATGGAGCCACACTGGAGAACAAGTCATACACAGTTAAGCCAAATTCAAATCTAATAAATATAAGCCTCTGTTTTTAAGAAATACAACAGCTACAAGTTCACTTAAGCAGCACCAACACTATGGACAGCAACTATTCCTGCTACAGGGTTGTATTAATTACCTCTTCGTGTATGAAAGCACTCCAATACTTCGAGATAGACAATTACATAATTTTACACACTCAACATTAAAAAATCATCATAATCTAACATTCATATTTCTGATATTTCACATCGGTGGCACATTACATCAATCATCACAAGAAAATGTCATTATATAAGGATATGATTCATTTTCACTTTTGTGCACAGCTCATCTTTTTGGAGAAAATTCTAGATCAGTAACTATTAACTCTTGGTTTAGCAATAGATAGGAACAAGAATAGTGAGACACTGTCAGAATACATGTGTAAACATTAAATCACAAAAATTAAAGAGTATTTCCTCTTCCAAAACTCATGGATTAGGCAAAGCCACTGACAGTTTAAGCCCCATTTCCCCACAATTTGGACTGAGAAGTGCATGCTGTCAGAATAAGAAGCCCGGAACATTATACCCGACAGACTGGACACAATGCTCTTCCATTAAAAACTCAGACAGGACCAGCATCCCACTTGCTTTCCACAATGCAGAGGTTTGCTACTTATGCAGAATAAACAACACTTCGAGAGCAGCCTGATTCAATTCCTTAATACAAACAAGGTCTGTCACTCGAAAATCTATGCGCTACGATAGAGGCCCTCTCACAAAGCAAAAGGTATCGAGGAAGTCTAGCTGCTGCTTTTGCAGCCGAACAGCTCCCATTACCCAAGCAGTACACAGAACTGAAGTGCTAAAGACAAGCGCCACCAAGAGCGTACAACGCGCACACTCTCTCATTCAAGGACGCCTTTTACGCTCGCCTCCTCTTACGCTAGCGTAAAGGCCTCCCCTTCCTCCCCCCCCCACCCCCCCCCCCCCCCCCCCCCCCTCCTCTAATCAAAACACTTCGCGAGTCCTGGGGACGCAAAGAAGATGGCGGAGCAAGGCCCCGCTTACGGCGTCGGAGGAGAGTTTACGCTGCGCTATTTACGTAGGACCCCATAGAAAGCGTGCAGCGCTGCGGCGGAAAGCGTGCGTAGCGCCGCTTGGTGAATGCCAATGGCCTATTTCCCGTGAGGGGAGGGGGGGATGCCTGATAAACAATGGTGGGCCCCCCCTGCGCGGCAGCCTTACCGATTCCTCCTCCTTTTCCATACCCGTGGGCATCTGCGGCACGGCCCGGTTGATGGAGACGCAGTCATTGAGGTCGGGCATGTCCTTGCCGCGGTAGATGGGCAGCGGTTTGGCGGCGTCTAGCGCCCGGGCTCGGAAGGAGAGTTTGCTCATTGTCTCCCCCTCACAATAACACCCCGGGGCCGGGCTGGGGAGGTGGGGGGCGAGGGGGACCCTCACTACGGCCTCGCCGCCGCCTCCCAGCCGCTCCCGAACCCGGCCCGACACACCATGGAGAGCCCCGACGCCCCGGAACAGCTCCCACGAAGAGCCGCCCGCAGCCCTAGATCCGCGCCGGGCTCGCTCGATCCGCTCCCTGCGCCATGGCAAACATGGCGGACATTAACCAAAGCGGCCAGCGATCCCGGCAGCCAACGCGAGAGCGGGGAAAGAAGGGAGGGGGAGAGGACGGGGGGGGGAGAAGCGAGGGGAGAAAGAGGGAGGTGCGCGCGCAGCCTCGGCCGGGTAAGCCTCAGCGAGCGGAGAGATTCGGGACCCGAGTCTTTTTCCCTCGCCTGTCACGCGAAGGCGGCTGAGGCGGCGGCAGGGCAGCGGGATGTCAGAAAGTGGGACGGAAGACTCTCTCGCCAGACACGGCGTCTGCCGCTATCTCTTCTTGCCCGTTTAAAGGATGAAACACAGACATTCCTCCGAAATATAAAGCGTACTTCACACGATTATAAACACGAAATTATAACCACCAGAACAAGCCATGCGAAATGATAAATACAAATAATTAAATGAATGCAAAATAATAAATGTAAGTGACGGAACACACATTCTTCAGAAACAATTCTTGTAATCTCTAGTTAAGGTGGTTTTTTAAAATTATGTGGCATTCTTCATCACTTTTAAAAAATAGTCCTGAAATCTCATATTCCAGTCGTCAATAAATTAAATAAATTTTTCTGCCAACCTCTGAACCCATTTATTTCCCCCCCATCCTTAAAATGTCGGTTCAGACATACAAGCAATGGACCAAATTGGCCTAAGAAGCATGCTCTCCATTTCCACAAAAAAAACCAAAACCCAAAGACAACACATTACAAATTCTTCACGCTTTTTTGAAAAAAACAAAACATCTTATGTGCACATCTCTCAATGTGACTGGGAAGTGGGGGGGATACATACATCCTCTATGTAAGTGCAGTTTAGGAGGCAGCAGACACTAGCCATGGATTACGGTGGACAGCGCACTCAGTAGCAAACCTGGGTTGGCTGCTATGCAATATATATAAGAACATAAGAACATAAGAGATGCCGATGTTGGATCAGGCCAAAGGCCCATCCAGTCCAACACTCTGTATCACACAGTGGCCAGAAATACCAGTGCCATCTGGAGGTCCACCAGTGGGGCCAGGACATTAGAATCCCTCCCACTGTAAAACCCCCCAAGCGCCAAGATGACAGAGCATCACTTGCCCCAGAGTCCCTATCTATACCTTGTGGCTAATAGAAATTCAAAAATGGTACCACCTTTTCCCAGTAGAAGAGTAGAAAGATAGATTCAGGTGGGTAGCTATGTTGGTCTGAAGCAACCGAACAAAGTTTGAGTCCAGTAGTACCTTTAAGACCAACAAAGTATAATTCAGGGTGTAAGCTTTCGTGGACATGCACACTTCTTCAGATACATTAGGTGTCTGATTAGGTTGGTGAAGTCTGCTTCAATGTATCTGAAGAAGTGTGAATGCACACAAAAGCTTATACCCAGAATTAAATTTTGTTGGTCTTAAAGATGCCACTGGACTCAAACTTTGTTCTGAGGGGTAGAGAGAAAATTTCAGCAGAAGCCGGTTTTGCTACTGCTACACAGTCTTGCTCGCCCTGACCTGGATAGCCCAATCTTGTCAGATCTCAAAGCTAGCAGGTTGGCCCCGGTTAGCATTTGGATGGGAGACCACCAAGGAATACCGGGTTGGTACACAGAGGAAGGAAATGGTGAACCACCTCTGAATGTCTCTTGCTCTGCAAACCCTACGGGAATGCCATAAATCAGCTGTGACTTGATGGCACTTTCCACCACCACCGCCACCACCACAATCCTTTTCTACATTGTTCCATGATACCAAAGCAGAGGCACCACTTCCTCCATGCTGCTGGTCACCCTAATAGTCAGGGCCTATAAATAATACCTTGCATTTATATAGAACGTTTTCCAGGGGTTCGTATCCACATCATTCTCAGTTTATTCTCTACAACAGCCTTGTAAAGGTGGTGAATTATCTCCATCCTTGCATGTTAAAGGCTGACAGAATAATCTCTTGTGCCACCTGGGGAGATGGGTGAGATTTGAGTGGGAGGCTTGCAGCTCACACCTCTTAATCTATCAGGATTTAGCCCCCAGATAGTCCCACAAAGTTCAGATCTTTCTGACCATCAGTATGTAGATTTGAATAAGCAAGATACTTCCCTGCATAAGGCTTCAGGCAGTTCTCGCTTCAGTCAGTCTGTTGTGCCAGCGTACAACCTATACTGGCCAAAATGTGCACCAGCAGCACTACTAATTTCTATCTGTCCTGCATTAACAATGATCAGGCCTTTGTTAAATAGCACGGGAGGCTCACAGGCAATTTAAGCTTTATATGTAAAAATGTTCTCTATCACACTGCTGCAGTGTGATGTAGCGGTCAGAGAGTCAGACTAGGTTCTAGGAGACCCGGGTTTGAATCCCCACTCTGCCATGGAAGTTTGCTGGATGACCTTGGGCCAGTCATACACTCTCACCCTAACCTACCTCACTGTGTTGTCGCGAGGATAAAACGGAGGAAAGGAGAATGATGTTGGGGAGAAAGGTGGAGAATAAATGAAGTAAATAAATAAATACATCCATATATATTCCTACACGAACTCTCTTCCCGCAGGAGTGAGCAGAAGCAAGACTAGTAACCCACTGGCCAATTTCCAGTGCCCCTGCCATTAAGAGATCCTGAATATGAACTCTTATTTTGTAACTTCACAATACAACTGGTGCTAGAACCACAAGGATCTGGATTACAGCATGCAAGAATATCAGCCCACTCCTGTATAGTAGACACAGGTAAAATGGGAACAGAAAGGGGTTAGGTGCCTATTATATTTTGAAGAAGTGTTCTCTCACTCATAGAATGATTACACACATACACACACGGAGACTTGCATAGCACAAACACACCTGTATAAACCATCAGATCACATTGTTTGGGAGAAACGTGATCTTATAAATATTTTAAATAAATCTACCCCCCAAAAGACACATTAAGGTGCTTTTCCTCTATATGCGCATTCAGGTAGATAAGATCCTGCATATACAGGGCAAAGTAACATACATAAGGACCTTGTTTGCAGACACTACACAAATCTTTGAGATCCTTATGTTCAGGTAGAAATCTCAGTGAAAGGATAGTACCAGCCTATAGGTATGTATTCACACAGGCAAACAGACATTTTGCCTCATGTACAAAGAATATTCCCCAAGTGAGACTCCAGCACACCCCTGTGTAACGGAGAGACATAAACAGGGAAATTTTACATTTACCACTGAGTAACTTGGAACATACGTGTTTTAATTCCATCTCAATTTTTAAATTACTTTTTAAATAACTTTTGTGTGTGGGGGAATCCCAACTGAGACTTTTCTCTCTCTGTCTTGCTATTCAGAGCAGAAACTAACACAAGGCTTCATCTTTGCAGGTATGTATATTTGTACCAAGTAACATCCTTTAAGGAGCTGCGGTGGCTCAAGTGGTTAAGATGCTGAACTGCAGGCTGTGGAGGGTCGGTCGTTCAGCAGTTCGAGACCCGGGTGCCGCATGACAGAGTGAGCTCCCGTCTCTAGTTCCAGATCCTTCCAACCTAGCAGTTCGAATGCAAGACATTGCAAGTAGATAAATAGGTACCACTTCGGTGGGAAGGTAACAGCATTCCGTGCGCCTTGGTGTTTAGTCATGCTGGCCACATGACCACGGAAACGTCTTCGGACAGCGCTGGCTCTTCGGCTTTGAAACGGAGATGAGCACCGCAACCCTAGAGTCGGATTCAACTGGCTTTCGAGCAAGGGAACCTTTACCTTTACTTTAACATCCTTTATGACCAATGCTTTTTGTGTGGGTCTAGTGCCTTTGTGCCACAGTGCCGTTCCAATTGACTTGCTACATATATGAATGGAGACTAATTACAGAACTCTAATTTATGAACTCAGGTTGATACATTCTGATTTAAAGGATGACAAGCTTTTTCCTGAAAGCAGGACGGAAGAATGTACATTTTGAGTACTATTACCAATTAGCCCCTAGTGTATATGCTGACAGCTATGGCTAGTGCATATCTAGACCCATCTGAAAATTAACATAAAAATTTATTGAAAGTTTTGCCTATATCTGCTCTATGGCATTCTTAGAGGCTTGTCTTTGTTGCAATGAATTAACATGATGACCACTCTGGAAGCTGTCAGTAAAATAAGTGTGCATGAAAAAAAATATACTAAAAGCATTATCAACTATGTGCATATATAGACTTCCTTTATTTTTACTCCTAACTGTCTTTATATGACACACATGCCTCCTCCACAGTCTCCTATTTACATTTATATGCACATCCGAGAGCCCAAATATTAAATATTCACAGCTTATACCTATGGAAACATTATCAATTTATTACTTCAAGCTGCAGTGGTGGCATTATCTACCTTCTGCTCAGCATGGCAAAAAAAATATCTTTCTCTGTCACATACAAATAAAATGTTACCAGCTGGGAGGTAGCATTGGTTAGCATGAAATCCTGTAACTACTGCATACTGCTTGCCTAACCTCTGTCAAAAGCAGCGTTTTCAAAGCAGGCAGTCCAATAGACAGAGTGCTAATGTAGATGCACACCTGAATACTCATTTTCTTGGGCAAATAAAAAGTCCTCAGACCTCAATGATCCAGTGGATAGAAAGATGGACATGGATTCAAATTCCTGTTCAGATGTGAACTAGCTCAACAGCCTTGAGCAAGCCATTTAAAGGTAAAGGTAAAGGTTCCCTTGCTCGAAAGCCAGTCGAATCCGACTCTAGGGTTGCGGTGCTCATCTCCGTTTCAAAGCCGAAGAGCCAGCGCTGTCCGAAGACGTTTCCGTGGTTATGTGGCCGGCATGACTAAACACCAAGGCGCACGGAATGCTGTTACCTTCCCACTCAAGTGGTACCTATTTATCTACTTGCAATTTCTTGCTTTCGAACTGCTAGGTTGGCAGGATCTGGAACTAGAGACGGGAGCTCACTCCGTCATGCGGCACCCGGGTCTCGAACTACTGGACTACCGACCTTCCACAGCCTGCAGTTCAGCGTCTTAACCACTTGAGCCACCGCAGCAAGCCATTTACTC